GAGATTGCCTCGGAAACAGCGTCAGCATGAATGTTCCAGTAAAGCCAATCGATAGCTGGTCAAGAGGAATGCGCCGTCGTCTTCTGGTGGAACGGACCATCGAATCTTTTCACGCCACACTTCCACTCGAAATGGAAACAATAGGACTCGAAATAATAGGACTTCCTCACGACACGACATTAAATGGCTCAAAATGGTGCCATTTGCGAGTTGCAATTTGAGCTGAGTGCAGATCCTCAACGAACACGTCGTCTGCTTTATGAAAACATGTTAGCGTCCAACGGTATCGTCTACTTGGCCAGCCAGGCGCCACCGATTGCCGCTTTCTGTTGGACTCTTGCACAGAGTCGACATTCAGGACGACTCTGGAGGACGCAATTGATATGAACGGGCTTGCCTGCAAGAGACACAAACTCTAAAGTTGAGCGATTCCATACTCGAGTGTCTGTATTATCCTTCTCTGTTGCCGAGTCGGCTTTCGGAAATTTCACATTTGAATCCAATGAACAACTATTCTGTGGGATGGAGCCTTTTCAAAAATTAATTTAATCATATGTCCTCTGCTATAGTATTAATTAAGACTTTTAGCAGCAAACCGCTAACTTATAAAAAATCCCAGTCGTTTCGGCCTCCAAGACTTCGAATAAAATCTCGTCCACTTCTTTGTGGAGACGTTGACTTCGTGCAAAGATGTGTACGATGAATGTATTTTGGCATATCGAGCTCATCAGAAGACGACATATGACCTGCTTTGTTATACATTCCTTTGGTTTTATTGCCACCCACAGGCTGCTAAGGCACTCCACGAGACATCCTGCCTGATTTCGAGTTAAAACTGACTACGCTACCGTCCATCCTGTCGTCCAAACGACATCTTCAACGTTGAAACTCATCCTAGCAGAAACTTCATGTCAATAAATATCTAATCGTCTCAACTTTGCATGCCACATTTACTCACAACTAATGAGGCAGGATGTCTCGTGGACTGTATCAGCCTGCGTGTCGTAGTACAGACAAACGACTGCAACGGGACAATGGAAGTAAGTACCCACCGTCTTTTGGTCACATCGGCCTAGGACTGTCTGAATGGGACATATTCATTTTTAGTAGATTTTTGTGACTGCCAGTAAATCATTATGTGAGTTGTATTCACCCTAATTTGTTTACGGTGATGAAGGACCGGTAATAGAATTTTCCCACGAGCACCATCGGTCATGGGTCTCGTCTGCAGGGCTTCCACATCCCGATTGGCTGCTCGATTCAACCGCACACTTTGCCCGAATTCGCTTAATTAGTCTCAACTACACACGAAGCGACGTATACTGACAAATTGACCATATAAAGTGGTATGAAATGTATCAACCTAATTTCGTGTAAGGTGATGAAGGACTGGTAGAAAAAGAATTTATCTACAATGTTATGAGTTGAGCTGACGTTTCCATTCATTTTCACAGAGGCTTGCTCTCCCAAAAGTTGTTCTCATCCAGGCACCAGTCGACTGCAGTTTCGACCTCGCATCGGTCTTATCAACATCCTCAGAAGGAGTCGAACTGCGATAGTGCAAGATGTGAGTTTGACACGTTAAACACTCATATTATTGATTTACTGGTAGTCACTAAAACAATACTTAATTGGAAAAATCAAGTATAGTATTGATATATATACTAGTATTGTTATAGCAAAACATACGTTTGTTTCATCAAAAATCCCACCAAAGGAATATGATATGGCAAAAAGGCCTGGCCTTCCTTGAAAATTCACATTTGTCCTGTGACCCAAAAGGCGCTCGTCAAGCTCCCATCCTGCACTGTCGCGGTTCGACTCCCGCTGGTGGTGTTGATACGACCGATGCGATGTCGAAACTGCAGTCCACTGGTGCCTGGATGAGAACAACCTTTGGGAAAGTCAATGGAAACGTCAGCTCAACTTATATCTTTGTGGAAAAATTCGTGTTCTACCAGTCCTTCATCATCTTAAACGAAATTGTGTGAATTCATTTCATATTACTGATTTGCTGGTAGTCACGAAAACAATACTTAATTCATATAAAGTGGGATTGAGGGATGTTGATGCCACAGCAACAAGAGGTCAGAGAGATAGCAGAACATATGAATCTAAAATTGGGCAAGAGGAATGCCTGGACGTGTCAAATGAACGATTGGATCCTCGATGCAGAGATTGTAAATGAGCAAGATTGCTATGGCAGGGCACAATGTCTTCCTAACATTTTGGTGAGATCGACCAGCGAATCTTGCTGCCATGCATTTTCATTAAAAATGAAAGTTTACCCGACAATGCTATTCCAAGCGTTGAATATAAACTCATGCCTTTTCTGTATATACCAATTCTGAAAAACAAAATCCCGAGACTTGCGATGCCTCTTTCTTCTCGTCCTGCCGACGACGAGAAGAACGGTCGCTTCTGGCACATTCAGAGTCGTCTGAAGAGGCCATCTTCTTTCTTCTTTTCATCGTTGCCAGGCGTCAAGTAAAGACCTAAATCTGCCCGAGCAAAGTATAAGTCTTAAATCAGCTCTCGGAGCAACTGCTGTCTGTAAGCCTTGCGTAGTATGAAACTCAAAGAATTTGGCTTAATCTCATCTTTCAATTACTTTGGCAATCAGCAACCAGCAGACAGTTGTGCAAATGTATTCGCGCCTTTGCGATGGACAGTCTATGCTGCTCATTTGACATATTTTACTCTAGCATTGTTCGTGTGCCATTTGCAGACATAGGCATGCACAACACCTACACAGGCACAAACACCTACACACACACACACACACACACATGCAACAGGTAGAGAATTCAGTCAAAGGACCAGACTTACTTGCATAGTGAGGACGGGTGAAACTGCGGCTGGTCTTCGCAGAACTGCAATTAAAAGGCAGAAAGGGATAAAGTGAAATGTTGAAAGTGAAAAAACTAATGTACAGTTAATGCATCAGCCTAAACGTGTGCCTGTGCAAGAACCCCGTTAATGCATCCGTGCCAGCTCAACTGTGAAGCAGGAGCTGATGGGCATCGGTGCTTTAGGCTTCTTCGCCCGACCGGATTGGCATGAAGAAGAGTCCCGGTGGTGGAAAGCTGGTGCATGTGATCGCTGGCAGTGCGCCATGCCTCGGGGACAGGAGTCGTCGGATTGGACGATCCAGACTCGGTGCAGTCCGTCCAATTGGGCCAGGCTGGACAAGGGCCGACACCACTTTCGGCTGAGGCGGGTTGCGGAGTGAATAAAGACCTGCACAGAAGTTGTTTGACCTTGTTTTCGCAACAAGGTCGTATTGGTAGGAAGACTTAGAGCAACGCATCTTCTCCTGAGTCCATTTTATGCATCAACATTTCAAAACTCGGACCGTCGACGCGGTACATTCCCAAACATTTCGTCGGCATCGTCAGTGAGTATCGCCATTCTTAGCACCACACAACAACTCGTCAAATGGACAAGTGAAGCCCATCCTTTGACCAAACGTGTGCTAAACAATTGTGGTATCTCACCTTCTGCCCTGGCCTATTCACATTTCCTATATCCTTCTATCAGGCCTTCCCTGTCACTGTTTTTTTACCGTGCTTATTCCTTATGTAGTGTCGTGTGCCCCTTCGAGCCGCATTCATGAAAACCCTTCACACTCCACACTTTCATTATCACCCCCTTCACCCTTGTCATGGGAATGTTGACCAAAGTCTGTCATATTGTTACGTAGTCCTTCCCTGGGTCCCATCAAAGTCTCCTTCTTGCCCCGTCGAATCCGTCTGCTATCTCCCTGGTACATGCATTTCACTCGAGCCCTGCCCCCCCATCTGTGCTATTCGAGACGTAATTCGTCCATC